GTTGAGCATTTTCTGAAGCAATTTTCATTTACACAGGGTGGCCCAAAAAAAAAAATTATGAAATTAAGCCCAACTTTTTTTTGTATTTTTATTCAATTCTCCATGGAATTCTGGTTATTTTTTATGTAACATAAACTCTACCTATTTTTAACCGTTTTCGAGATAATGGCGTCTGAATATAGAATACGGAAAATTTTCAAAAATTACCCTGAGCTTTACCCTGCTAGTTGTAAAATAAAACCACGTTTATTTTTCCACCTTAGATTTGTGTGGTTCACAGAAAGTTGCTTCAAATCAGAAAAACTCATAAGAAATAAGTGGTTCGGTGATTTATTTTGATCATTAGGACGCAACGACTAGAATGTAAAAAATATAAGAGATATTTAGGTATAATTTAATTAAAAACGCATAATTTTATTGTAGAAAATATGATTTTGTTAAATGTCACTATTTAAATTACGAGCCAGGTTATTTTGCAAATTTTTAGCACCGTTTCGTGTTTTTTTGTAAACATAAAATACAAAAACACAAAATGTATTTAGCAGAAAGTACACCAGTTCCCACTGACTTTGACGTTACAGTCCCTACCTATCGAGAGTAATTTTTGAAAATTTTCCATATTCTATATTCAAATGCCATTATCTCGAAAACGGTTAAAGATAGGTATAGCTTATGTTACATAAAAAATGATAAGAATTCCATGGAGAATTGAATAAAAATACAAAAAAGTGTGGTTTCCATTTAAAAAAGGTGGCCCTGATTTCATATCTTTTTTTTTTGGGCCACCCTGTACAAATGAAAATTGCTTCAGAAAATGCGCATCTAAAAATATAATTCGACGAGTCCGAGCGATTTTTCAAATAACGAACATCTGATTTTTAAATAAATATATTCCATACTTTTGCCGCTCACTGTATATTAACATCTTGATTCAGTGATTTATAGTCTTAAGTTATTATAGTAAGTTCTATCGACGCCATTCATTATATGTTGGTATATAATGGTTCATAAACGATAAAGGGATAATAGCGTATAAAGGCAAACATTTATTGATGTCAGAATAAAGGTTTCTAGTCTCAGATTTCGTTTCATTTCTATGGAGAAGAGATCAAATTTTATATTGTGTGAATTTTACTAGTGTTATTAACGATCATTTACTTCGTTATTAGAGCGTTTTTACTGAAATAAAAGTAACTGAAAATGCTTTTATGGTCGATGTATCTGCGACACAAAATGCACGGATATCGATGTAATTTTAAACCTGTAAAACTTGAAACCCCTGTAAAGTTAACTTGAAGTCTAGAGTGTTCAACTTCGGAGTTTTATTTTATTAAAAGCGATAATTTTATAGCTAAAAATATTATGGAAGTTCCAGCTTCTGTAGAATTTCAGCATCAGCTGTCAAAGAATACTATCGTGGTTTATTTGTTTCAGATGTAATATATTCGCATTTCTCAAAAAAAAATCGATAAATAATAAAATATTGTTATCTGATATAGACTTTTTTTATTCACTTTTGGAATTACTTAAATCATATTTAATCAGTAAGAGCCAGTGCGCTTTTTACAATGGCTTTAAATCTTTAAATCTGAATTTCTAGCTTCTTCCGGTGTACCACGGGGTCCCGTTCTGACACCATTATTATGAATATATTTATAAATATTATAACTGTTGTATCTTGCTTGCTTTATACGTTTTTTTTTAATTTTCATCACTGTCAAAACCTTAGTAGATTGTAAGACAACTCCAGGATAATTTAAACCTATTTATCCAGATGGTGCAGTGAAAATAAATCCAGGGAACAGATTTTTTTTATATTTTCGGATCAAGAATTAATGTGCCAGAAGAGGAAACGAGTTTCATTATGTTTAATTTTATTCATATCCCTTAACAAATATATAAACAAAAATTTGAATCGTTAATATTTCATCTACCTGGTATTTTTTTGGTCGTTTCATTTGTTGATTTAATTAAATTATATGTTATTTTACCCGATATTGCGTTGACTAGGTAAATGAAAAATTTACGATCGTCCAGAAATAGCAGCTCGCCCAACAGCGAGAAATGAAAATTTGTTCTCGTGCTTGGTTATTTCCCCAAGGTTATTCAACTGCAGAGCTCTGCCGTGACCTATTTTTTGTGTGCTTTTCATTAGGATGGGCACACCCTTTTCATTCTGTACTAATACGTCAGAGCACCAAAGAGTGACGGTTTGCATGTACAAATACATATAATTAATTCAGTTTCTATTCGGGGTTTTGACAGAATGAAAACGTAGCTATCTGCAATTGGTCGCGCCTGGTTTCACAGATATAGCATGCACATTGTTTAGAACTACCTGCTTTTATTTAGGTTCCTCTAAACAACGGTGACTTATAAATGATGCGAAACTATTGGTAATCTCTTATGATTTTTGCCACGAAATATCTTTCCAAAAAGTCTCATGGGCCCAAAAGAATACAGGAGCTCTAAATACTCGTAGATATTAGAACATTTTTACGAAACTACTATGAATTGTATCTCTAAATATACTACACAGAAACATGTTTATAACAACAATTTAAAACCTTGGATCGACTTAGAATCCACTCGCATGGTTAGACACAAGAGAAATCTTTGGAAAAAATTTAAAGGGACGAACTACATCTCTGATTTTGTAGCTCACCGTCGCTTTTCCAACAATCTCAAGAAACATTTAGCAGCATCTAAAAAAGCTTATGAAGAGTTTGTCATCAGCAGCGGGAATTCTAAGCAGTTTTTCAAATATATTAGATCTTCTTTAAACTCTACGGTTTCTATACCTCTTCTGCGTGGAGAAGATGGCGAAATACCAAGACACTTCGGAAATACTTTCTCTCGCCTTCTCCAAGATTTATACTGACGAACCTTCTTATGATCTTCTTCCACCTATTATCGGACCACGTGTTGTGTCCTGTTTGGAGAACATTGAATTCACTCCAGATATAGTTAAAAAGCACTTGATGAAACTTCGAAAAGATGCTTCCCCTGGTTTGGATGGCTTATCGCCTTATCTCCTTCTAAAATGTGTTGATGCCCTTGTCTTGCCTTTGTCTATGATTATGTCCGAGTCATTTTCAAGCGGCTTTGTACCGTCTATGTGGAAACAGGCTTCAGTTACACCGATCTTCAAGAAAGGAGACAAATTGGACCCTAATAACTACCGCCCAATCAGTCTTTTACCCACAATTTGTAAAATCATGGAATCTATCATTGTGGAGAGTATGACAGATTTTTTACTACAAGAAAACGTTATTCCTGCACAACAACATGGATTTATTAAAAACCGTTCCACATTAACAAACCTAATCCACTGTGTAAACGACTGGTCTCTCGCTCTAGACAATAGTGATCCTATAGATGTAATATACCTTGACTTTTCAAAAGCTTTTGATAGGGTGCCAAGAAGAAGACTTTTACACAAACTAGACCACGTGGGCGTTCGCGGTACTTTACATCAATGGATCAACAGTTTTCTAACAAATAGATACTTTAGAGTGAGAGTAGGCGATTCTTTCTCCGGCGATAGACCGGTCCTCAGTGGCATACCTCAGGGTTCAGTTTTAGGGCCCCTACTGTTTATTATATATGCCAGTGATATTCAATATCACGTCGAGAATAAGGTATCTTTCTACGCGGGCGATACTAAACTATACGCCAATCCTGATAGTAACCATGGATCCCTCCAACGAGACTTAGTGTCCATTGCGAATTGGTGCGATGAATGGCTACTTCCGCTAAATGCAGACAAGTGTGTTGTTCTCCATATCGGCCATAGAAATCCCAATTGTGTGTATTCCTTACATGGACAAGTGCTAACTACAGTGACTTCTCACAACGACCTAGGTGTCATAATAAACTCCAATTTGTCATGGTCAGATCATGTAAACTTTGTGTGTAAACGTGCTTACTCTAAACTCTATTTACTGCGAAAGTCGTTCACTAATTTATCATTTGATGTGGCGTGTAAACTATACTGCAGTTATGTGAGGCCAATTCTTGAGTACGCTGGTTCTGTGTGGTGCCCTGATCTCATTCGAGACCAGCAATCCTTAGAAAGTGTTCAACGCTCTGCGACCAGGCTTTCTTTTGGACGAGTTCGACCTTCCTATGTGGAACGACTTTCCATGGCCCATCTCACAAACTTCCAGCAGCGTCGCCTTCGAGGTGATTTAATTATGACTTTTAAAATTCTTAAATTTAATTTCGGCAACTTGTCTTCAATCTACTCATTGAATTGTGATAATCGCCTCCGTGGTCATGACTTAAAGTTAAAAAAAGAAAATTTTAAATCTAGAGCTAGGCAATACTTCCTGTCCAACAGAATTTTTACAATTTGGAATAATTTACCAGCTTCAATAATTGGTGCACCATCGCTTAATTCATTTAAAAGTAGACTGGATGCTCACCTTTTGTAATAGATATTAGTTTTAAGTTAATTCTTTAATATGTTATGTTTATTATCCCTATTATGCTGTACATATTTTGTTAATTTTGGGTATAATAGGACGTAAGTCCTCTGCCCTAACCTATTTTGTAATAATAATAATAATAATAATAATATTTTCTTCAGCATGAGCAACAGCAAGATAAAATAGGCATTTGTGTATTTAGTGAAAATCTTTAGTAAGTTTAAGTTTATTCCAGAAAAATGATTTTATATGCATGAGTTTGAAACCTACTTAAAACTTATTTATTACTTACTTACCTACTTATTCAATTCCGAAAACATCATTGATTAATTTGATTACACAGACCCGCAAAAAAGAAAAGTGGTCTGTTTCAAAGACTGGACCTATCTATCCTAATGGATTTTAATCCGCTGAATCCGAATCCATTGCCAGAATTGCTTTATCACCCACCATTTTTTGAAATCGCAAATGTCTAAAAACGTCACATAAACTTCCGGCTAGTACCATGGCGACTGGTGTTATCTTGCTTTAAATTTTATTGAGTAATCTCAAATTTAATTTTTTTTTCAGCAAATATCATAGTCAGTATAGAATGCCGCGCTTGGGCAGGCAACATCGAATACAGAGGAGGATCGTTGAATCGAGCGGGTTCCATAACCTTTGAAGTGCTGGTTGATGCTGAAGGCCAGCAGTCGAAAAATAACACTGCCACCCCCATGTAATATTTTACAGAGCGTTGAATATAGGCGTAGTACTTATTGTAATTTTTATCGTTTAAGTTTTTAGGTTGTGCAAACTTGTTCGTTTTGTCTCAGTGTCTATAACTTATTTAATAAATGTTTTTAGTTAGTTAATGTGTAAATAAATTAAGGTTTTTAGATGAAGTGGTGCTTTTTGCCTTAAAACAGTGTTAAATTTGAAGATGTCTGATTCATGTTTTCGCCATCAAAAGCACTGCAGATGTTTTATGTTTTTAAATTTATATCAGGATTTTATCGCAACTAACTTATTGCAGTGGTGGTGCCACTAAGTTGAACACACGGTCTAATAGGGTGTGAAAATAATGTACTTAATTGAAAAGGCTAATCGAATACATAATTTAAACAATTTCAAACAGAAAATACAAAGTTCTTTTTCTGTATTAGAGTGTAATTTGGAACAAAAATAAAAATTTGAAAAAGTCATATACTCCAGAATCGAAATAATCTCGATTGTAACACATACAGGGTGTTCCGAAATTCATACAACAAAATTTGGTCACATATTCTTAAGACAAATTTAGGGGACCCGTATTTTTTATTTTTGCCAAATGGCCCCTTTTTTCGGAGTTACAGCCACCTGAAGTCCGACCCTAAGAATAATCTTTTTTTATATCTCAGAACCCTGTTGTACCAGAATCACTAAATTTGGTACACAGGGGTTTTATGACATGTGGAATCTGATAGTGCTACGTTTTTTGGCGGGGAACCCCCTTAAGACAATTTTTCGTGGGCCCCCTTGTCTTTGGAGCCAAAAAAATTTGGTTGCATATTTAAATTTCTTAAAAATTATCAGTCCACTAGAAAGCAATTAAATTTAGAAACTGTTTGTCTCTTTATACTTTTTTCGTAAAACGCAATGTTTTCGAGTAAAATGTCGAAATGTCAAAACATTGCGTTTTACGAAACAAATATCAAGAGACAAAAAAGATTCTAAATTCAATGGCTTTCTAGCTAACTAATAATTTAAAAAAAAATCAAATTTGCGACCAAATTTTTCTGGTTCCAAAGACAAGTCCACGAAAAGCGGGTTTCTCGCCAAAACGCGTAGCACTGAGATTCCACATGTCATGTGTGCCTGTGTACCAAATTTAGTGATTCTCGTACAACATGGTTTTGAGATATAAAAAAGACTTTTCAGGGGGCTGTAACTCCGAAAGAGGGGGCCAGTTGGCCAAAAGAAAAAATACGGGTCCCTTAAATTTGTCTTAAGAATCTATAACCAAATTTTGTTGCATGCATTTTGGGACACGCTGTATAGTAAAAGTATTTAAGGAAAAACACACATTATTATTACTTACAATAATTTTTTTTGATATAAAAATTATATCATCTTTAAAGATGACTTCTACTTCAAACAGTGATAATTTTCTAATTTAAAAAAAAATACAACGAATTTTCTCGATGTATTTACAGTAAAAAGGGAAAAAGTTAAGAAAAGTACATGGAAACTGTTTAAAACTACAATCAATATTCTGTTGGCCTTTTTATTCCTAGTAGTATAAACTTGACTATAAATTTCACTTTTTAGAGCATTTGTTTTTATACTAACATATTTTATATAACATTTACTACTGAAATTTGTATATTCTTACCTTAAACATTTAAAATCCACTATCTTAAGAAAATATTTTCCTATGACATATTATTAATACTTGTTATTGAAGAATATTTATTCTAAATCAGGTTATTAGTAGATGTTAAGTAATAAGTGCACTTTTACAAGGAGGATCAAATAGATTTCATATTATATAGGAATTGTAGTAAAATTTTTTCATCTTACTTACGGCGACGTATCCTTATCTTAAGGAGTATTACATTAATTTAATTTAAAACGTGTGAGCTTTAATTGTGATTACTAGAGTTAGGTGATGATTAAATGACGTTGAATTTATTGCCATAATGTTATGGTTTTGTTTTTATTTTTGTCCTATGGTATAAACAAAAAATAAATGTTTTATAAGCATTATGTTTTAGTTTCAATTTGAAGCATTCCTTCGTAAATTTAAGAGAATAACTAGACATATGAGGAAAAAAGATTGTATTAATTAAATAGTTAGTTGGCAAAGTTTTCACATGTTTTTAAAGTGTAGATATTGCCATTAAATATGAAAGAGGACATCTCCTCGACTTATTTGGCATATTCGATTTCTTTTAAGACAATTGTGTATCATGTTTTCACTTTTATAGCTGAAGTTCGTTCCGCACAATTGTAGATTCCTGGGACATCCAGCAACGTCCATGAATGGACGTTTTGGAACATTTAGGCTGTTTAATACATACCTACACTGGATGTTCATTGATCGATATTATGGTAGTCGATGAACGTCCGTTTAAGCATGCTGGACATGCGATGGGCCCCTTAGGGCATTCATTTTTTATTTTCTACACAAATGAACGTCTCTGCATTCAGCAATGATCCATGAATGGATGTTTTGAGACATCCTAAGGATATTCCTGACCTGTAGAAAATATAAGTACAGTAGATGCCCCAGAGTGGACGTTTTTGGGATATTCAAAGTTATTAATATTTTTTGTAAGAAATAAATGAAATTGCACACAAACAAAAAACATATATATTACAATGTGTATACCTATACAAAAAATAAACTTATTATACCTATGAGATAATACTGGAGTTGATATGAAGTAAAAAAAAATGTTTTTAGTAGTATTATTTATTCTCCTATTGCATTTTTTACTAGGATGCTGTAACCAAAATCATATTCCTATTTCTGCTTTCTTATGGAGATTTTATTCCACTTTCCACAGCAATTTCAAAGCAAATCTTATAGTACGTTCATTAAAAATTGTCATCCCTGGAGTACCTATCACATTAATTTCATATCTATTTCGTAGTAAGCTGAAAATTAGTTGTGTTCACTATTTTGTTTCACTTTTTTATATTTGCTGATCGTTTGTTTGACGACATATCAATTGGCACCAAAACTTACTTCATAAACTCTTATTTTTAGGGAACATAATTGGATAATCAATGATAATTATAAAACATGTTTATATTGAAAATTATAATCTCTCCATACATTCTAACCTAATACTACACAACACACAACCAAGAGAAATGAGAAGTTATTTATTATTTTTTGATAGTACCTAGACAATACCACCATAGAAGATTTACCGCGATATTTGGATATGAGTTCGTTTAGCAAGAGAGGATTGCATGAGAAGAATTAAATAGAATAATTTTTTTTATTTGTTAGTAGATACTTGTAGTAGATAAATTTGGCGCAAAGTTAATAAACATTTATATACCTGTCCATAGTCGATTTTTGAAAGGATTCCGAACTATAAGCTTAGATGTTGCAGTATTTTACTTAGGTGTCCTAATAAATCACATCATTATTATTCCTATTTTATATTAGTGGCCCTAAGGTGAGAACCCAGCGTATTTTTAAGGTCATTGAAGAGATATTCCCTCGACCTAAAACGCACTTAAAATGGAGGTGTTATAAACACCCAAAAACTTAGGTCTAAATACTACTTTTTGACTTATTGACTTGATTTTATTCTAACTGAACTGAACAAACTGAAAATAGCTGGAAAACTGTGTTCACATATCATTCTCTTAAATCTGTGAATGTACTTTACAAGAAAAGTCTTTTTATCTAGATGGGTCAATAATAATATACGATAAAACAGATGTGTCTACAGGAAATTGGAGTGATTAGGATTTGCTGACTATTGATCCTGTTTCAATAAAAAACAGTTTTTTGTGCGTATTTCTTATTGCGGAAAAAACTAATATTCGTCCTTGGTCGTGACACAACTAAATTGGACTGCATATTATTAACTATCTGTATGAAAAATATGGTTTTAGTTAAACAAAAAAAAATCATAATTCGCCTGTTCCTATTGGGCACTTATTTTAAAGTGCTTTGTTTATGTAGAAACTAAACAGGTCATGAGAAAATAATTGCAGTTATAACTTATAACTGGCTACTGCTAATGTAAACGTGTGTTGGGTTGCCTGCTCTCGGCAGTATGTTGTAGTTGAGTCTTGAGCTAAAAACATATTAAACAACATGCAAATGTTTACATTAAAATTATTTCTCTGTCATGTCAAGGCAACTGGGGGTTTATCAATAATTAAAGATTGGTATGTGAAATTTGTTGTGTAAATTCTTATGAAGACTTATTTACATATTTAATTGAGAGATTTAATACAGGATCCTATATTTTATATTCCTTCTTTGAAGGTGTTGAAACTTGTTATCATATACTTTAAATCTGAAATTTTCATACATATATTTTTAGGTATTTAATGAAAGTAGCACAATTCTGTTAGATTTGGATATATGAACACTTTTTTTGGAACCACCCTTATTTTAAATTGAAACGCTTTGATATACTACTGTGAAACTGATTATCTGCAAAGCGATTATTCTGGTATATATTAATTTAAATAAAAGCAATGATAAGAAATAATGGTTGATTTAAAACAATTATTAGTGAATTTTTTAATTAAAGGTTAGTATATATTATAATTATTTAATAATAATTAATAATTAATATAATAATTTAAAACAAAATATAAAAAAATGGTGCAGCTTCGGAGACAGTCTTAATAATTTTCTTTTTTGTTTTTTTTTTCAAGATATTTAAAAGACTATTATGATAGAACAATAAAGCTTTTACAAAATTATGTTCTTGCTGTATATTGCTAGACTGTACCGTTTTCAAGATAAGTGGCAAAACATCCACATCATGTATAATTAATTGTTGTTAAAAGTATTATGACTAGAATTTAGTTCGTAAATAAAGTAATACGGTAAGAGACCCTGCAAACATGGTGGACCATAGCGTTTTGTTTAGTACGTTTCAGGCGTTGATACGGGTCGCTACATAAAAAATAAATGGTTTTCTATGATGGAGTAGTATTAAAATGCCGGATTGTGAAACGAACAAATAAGACAAGAGATGAATTTTGCAAAAAAATGTGGAGAAATGTAAACGTAACTAGAGGTAGGAAATACTACTATCTATCGTCTGTGATTTTGCAATCATGATTTGATATTAGCCAATTAAGTCAAATTTTAGCAGTCGTACTGCACATTTTATGATCATCATACATTCAGGACTGAAGAAAGCCACTATGTTAAAGCACTTATCGTTAATAAACATACCTGTTTGAAGCAGACCACTTACAAAAGGCATTTTAATGATACAGGTATAAGGTCCAACTTTCACTTGCAAAAAAATGAACGCTGCTAAGTTTATTTTAACATATTTAACACAGTTAAATTATTTTTTAAATTCTTAGTGATGCCACTGACTTCGCACGCAAATGTCAAATTCCAGTAGTGAAATCAATTTATTTTTAAACTAATTATAATAAATGAATTAAAATAAACATGTGTAGGTATATGATTTTCCTTAACGACATTCCGCGACTTGCAATTCAAAAATGAATCTTCTCCGGCCCTTTTTTAACATTTGTGACTTAGATTTCGCCATTAAAATTTGTTTGAATATTTTAATCCCACCCTGTATAAACGTATTTCAACAGTAAACCGCTTTAAATACCAGCACGCTGTTTCGTTCGAGATGATCGAAAGGCAATAGCCACGCGTAATTCCATAGTTAAATCCTGTCGATAACATTTAATCGGAGATGACAAAAGAACTGACAATGTTAATAGCACCAGACGTAAATAAATTTATAAACAGGGGATTTAAGATTAAATCTGAGACCGGCTTCGAGTAATACGACGATAAGATAGTAAAACTCGCGATGATGAATTCGTTACTACTTTTCATTTGTGTTCGTGATACCGCGGGAACAATATGATGTCATGGGCCAGGAAGGTACGTAGCTTTTTCGTTTGAATTCACGTTTATAATTAATACAATCCATTAATAATACGTTTTCGATCAGAAACGGCAAACAAGTTTTGCAGCTATAAAACCCTAGCGACTACAAGGTGTACCTACAAATTTGAATGTGTTTGTTGCGTGTGTTTGTTCTTGAATTACGATAGTGGTGTTATTTATTCTCATTAAGCAAATTATCAAATTTATGTGTTTTGTTTAGATTTTGTATGAAACGTAATTGTTAAACGACAGAACCGTTCTTAAAGGTTCTTATAGCTCTTTTAAAAAGTATTAAAGAGTCACGTTTATTTTCAAATAATTGCACTATAATTTCAGCAATAAACAAGAGATTCCACTATAAAATATAATGTAAAATGATGTATAACTAAATAGAGTGAGATTTTTAAAATTTTCTCTGAATTACTGATTTCTTTTGAATTTGCTATTTATACTGGTATATATTTTTAACTAACATAAGAAATATGTAAGTTCTTTTTTCAGTTCCTTTATATTTTTTCTATATGGCTGCCTATCCTGTTATAGCCATATTAGTTTCGAATTATATGTCTTTTTTCTGTATCAATTGCTTTTATTTATTTCTTCTTGTGAAACTCACTGTCGCCATCCTTTGCTTACAATTCTTTAGGTGCATTTTAAAAAGTCTAGATAGTTTCACGATAGGTTTTACTTGACACTATTTCATATCGTAACACTGTAAATTACGTGATAATTTATAGGACAAATGTGGTCTACCAACTGTAAAATTACATTGTTTTTAGTATACACGTTTCCAATATATTATTTATTTTTATTAGCCTTTTACATTTGCGCCATTCCTTCTTTTGCAACACAAAAAACTTTTGCGAGATTATCGGTTACTGTGTTTAGTAAAAGCGCAACTAACTGTAGTTAGTTTTCTCATATAAGTATAGAAAAATGACTCTTGCTTGAATTTTATACTATTCTTTTCGACTGTAGAAAAACCACCTATTTCGTTTCCATGCTCATGTAAGACCGCTTTGAATAAATGATTTAACAAGCAGTAGTAATTTTTCAGTAATGTTTTTATCATAACCATCTATGTAAAGTAGCTTATACAACTTCTATCATAATTTAAATCTGACACAAATTCGAAAGGTAAACAGATTTATATATGTATCTACAGGAATAGCCCTGACTTTTTTGGGCACACCCTGTAAGGTCTTCGGCTATATAAGGTTGCTGGTTTAGTATAAATTATTAAAGTATAAAAAAACATTCATAATGCTAAATGTACGTATCACACACTGACCGTATGATGAATGGCTAGTTCTAACTATAGAATCTACCTATTTCAGGCTAGTTTTTTCTTTTGGGCGTTGTGCTGGACTTGCGACAGTAGGTCGTTCAAGGAGGCAGAGCCTAGAGATGACGTGACCAAGACGGTATTCGAATTGGACGATTATTTAAATGGTACATTTTCGAGTAGTACTTGGAACGGTACTTGGTTATCAGGTAAGCCCGTGCTTAATCTTCGAAGAACTAGTGATTGACTGTTACCTTTTAGACACGGAATTTCTCTACAAAAATACGGAAGGAGATATTTTAAAATACGATTTAGAACTGAAGGAATCCGAAGTTTTCTTGGAAGCCAGTGTACTGGTAAGTGCTTTTTAACATAAAGATATTTTTATATTCCTTCAATATTAGGCCGACACATTTCCACCTTTGTTGATAATAACAGCTCAAGCTCAATGATTAATTAATTATTGCATCGCATCAATAGTTTCGTTTATGACCGTTAATAAACCGTTGTTGCAAGTGAATAGTCCTACAAATGATTACCCGCTTCCACTTAATTGATATTTTCGTGTAAGCTGTTGGATGATATAATATACACACTTACATATATTTAAGATGTATTATATAATTTAATGTTTTCTTGCTATGCCGATGGTCTCTTATTACGGTATTTTTTCCATCTATTATTTCAGAAATTTTATTATTTCAGAAATCGTCTCTCGTTGAAATAAACATCCACATTAATTGGTTACTCCATTTCTTCGAGACTTATGATTGACAAGTTAAGAACCTATTTTTCAAGATATTTTTAATTCACGTCTTATGATTGTATTTTGATTTTTGAATTTTAAAAATCAATTTGAAAAGAGTACTACCTTCGTGTATACTTATTAATTAGTTATGAAAAATAATTCACTAGTAGGTACGTACTCGTATGTCAGTAAATTCTTTTTGGTCTAGTTTCTAATGTAAGGAGGGCAAATTGAAATTTTATTCAACGGCCTTGATGGTATCGAATATATGACGACAATAAATTTTATGGTTATAGAATTATGTATGAAAAGTTATATCTACTTTGATTAGATATGTTTATTACAAAATATTAATGGATAATAAATACGTGAATTTTAGCTGCAATCATTTTATTGAGAATTTCGTGACCTGTTAACAAAATAGAAATACATTTTTAGCTGTTACATTAACATTAATGAGCCAGGTTATCGTCACTTATCATATTAACTGCAGTTTTCCTGCAATAGAAAACAGAAAATTATAGTGTTTCTATTTTAGTTAGATACGTTAAATACTTTTCATCCTGTTCGAAAGTATAATTACAAGTGATATGGATTTTTTTTCACATCTGGGATGTATTAATGAATATATAATATACTAGATTTTAAAACTTGTTTCAAACTATTTCTATTACTGTTTTGGTTTAGTTCCTGGTTTTTAAAGCATTAGCGTTGGGTGTAATGAATTATTAATGAACTTTTCTCAGCCCATGTCCATTTGTATACCTTATCAATATGCTTGCGCTGCTGATAAATTCATTATTTAAATTTTCCTAATGACAGTGTATAGGGCGGCTCTATGCTGGAAACCGGAATTTGCTTTCGAAACTTAAATATTTTATTTATTAATTGTTTTTTCAGTAATTGATCGTACAAACTATTTATTTACGAACGATATCTTAAAACCGAGTAAATGACGGTTTCAAGAAAACCACGAGTTTGATGTTAAAGTTAAAAGTGTAAATGGGATTCCTAAGACAATGCTGACGTGCATTCAGAAATAATAAAACATAAGATTTAAACATCTCAGTATCCAAAAAGAACGTCATTGAACAAGAAAAAATTTACGAGCAAATATGAAATAGTGGTGTACAATTTGTTGTGTGTTGTTTAATATTAATGTGTTGTAAAATGTTCAAATTCTTAATGTTGATGCAAGAAATGACATTTAACTGAATTGAACGCTCTCATTTTAATTTTAATTTACATTTATAATATTGCAGTTTACATATAGGAAATTTCTTTTCATTATTATGTTGAAAATAGACTGTAAAATCAAATAATTATGTTTTGTATGGGTCGGATATTGACCCTACGCTGATTAATTTTTTCTCATAAATATTCTCACTGGAAATATCAAATGTTAATATTGTTCGAAAATATTTGTTTGTGACATAATTTACGTTTTTCCTTTTTTTATATATGTATTTAGCCTCGTGTGAAAAAATTTAAAAAAATTAATGAAAAACATGAAAAGGGTTATTTTTATAAAAATAGTTTTGCCTAACCAAAAAATCTCACATTGAATCTTTCACTATCTGAAAGTTCTTGAACATATTTATACAGGTTGTTTATTAAACATACGGCAAAAATTTCAGGGAGGCTATTCTAAGAATATCTTCTCCTCTGATGATTTTTGAAAAGCCCCTTTGTTCCGAAGATACGGGGTGAGAATTTCGACAATAACATTTTATTACATGTAAAGCTTCTTAATCTACAAGAACTGTTGAAAATCACTACCTCCAGCTAGGATGCAAGAAACCAGTCTTCTCCTCATTGACTGCAGAACTCTTTAAAAACCAAGGTCGCTTCTTATTGAGTTACACCCAAGTATCCGATTTTTTAAATCTTCCACATTTTCTATTGGAGTAGTATTAACTAATGACTTTAGATGGTCTCATATGAAATAATCCAGAGGGTTTAGATCCGGGGATCGAGCAGGCCATAAGTGAGGTCCATGTCGACCAATCCAGCGACCTCCGTATGTTATTGTTAAAAACTCACGAGCAACCACATTACAATGCACTGGTTGGCATCGTGCATAAACCACATTGCATTTCTTGTTGCCAACGGTACATCCTCCAGAAACTGAGGTAGCGTTTGTTCCACAAAATTGCGATACACCTCGCCGGTAAGTCTTCCTGGTAGAAATACTGGTGCAATTAGCTAATCACCAACAATTCCAACCCAAATGTTCAATGATGTTGAAAACATGAGGATTTTCTTCAGCCCATACATGGTTATTGTGAAAATTCCTTTTTGCATATCTTGAGAAATTTGCTACATCGGTAGAAAGAATCAGTGACAGTAGTTGAGGGATTTGAACCAATGTGTGCAAAAGCCATTGACAGAATGCAATACGTGGAGTAAAATCAGCAGGAAGAAGTGCCTGAACGCGTTGTATGTGGTATGAGCACAACATTCAAAGTATTTGCAATTTTTCGAGTAGAAGTGGATCTACCTGTGTTCAGTACATTCTCTTCCACTTCTACCGTTGTTACTGTCATTGTATTGGCCTTCCTGGTCCTCCATTTCGTTTCAATGTGCGTGTTTCGGAACATTGCGACCAGGAAATCGTTCAATGTACAACCGTCTAGCTTTTAATGAACTGCCATCAGCAAGTCCGTAAATGAAATGCATGTGAATCAAACAGCCAAACGTCAATCAGTCTCAACAAATTCGACACATGCAAAATGATCAATCACGAGACGTATTCAAATGAAATCCTCATTCAAACTGGTATCTTTTCAATGAATGTACTTGTCCTCATTTTTTCTTTTAAAAAATTATATTCTGTAAACCCAGTGACGTACGCCATACTTTTATTTCGACTACAGTAATAATTTCAAAAATATCAAAATTGGTTTTGTCGAAAATATTTCTCGCCCTGTATCCTCGGAACAAAGCGCATTTTCAAAAATCATCAAAGGACAAAATATTCTTAGAATAGTCCAGAGAATAAATATCCTGTATAATGTCCTTTAAATTTTATTTTCTATTAATTTGGGTGGGTCTTTATTTAATTTTATACATATAATTTCGTTCATTAATTGCATTAGATATTTTTGTATCATAGACTGTTTTGTTTAGAATAACCGGCAAATTTTTAATACTTATTATAATTTTGTAATGATAATAGATTTCTTTTCTGGCAATGAAATTATTTCTAATTATATACCTATTTTTTCTCGAGTTCAATTTTTGATATAATTTTGTATTCGTTAGCTAACATTAAAGGCAATTTTTGTGTAATATGTTCTATTGATGATGTTCTGTCAAATTTAGCAATATTTTTTGGCGTTGAAGCATAGTTCTATCCTTTGCTAACAACTAAAATCTAAACACAAAAATTAAAACAGATTTTCAAAACACTAACAACTTTTTAAAATACGTGATATAAAGTGACGCATTTATTTTTGTTTTCGTATTTGTCTGCTTTCTTCAGTGTGCGATTTTTTTGGTCAAACAAAACTGTTTTCATAAAAACTTATCCTTTTGGGGCAAGGGTTTATGTTATTAATTTTTTTAAAATGTTTCATAGGTGACAAAATAACCAAAAAGAAAAACAAAGAAAATATTGATTTTTCAAATATAATTTGGCAATAAAAAAAGGATGTTTATGTAACATATGTTTATGAATAGAAATATTATTTACATTCTTGTTACAGAAAACATTTTTACAGTAGTAAAACACAATATTTTGATCTCCCTAGCAGATGTCTAAAATGGCTAAAGAGGAATACTGAAAATACAGGTTTACTTTTGTTATTTTTTTACATTTATTTAATTAGGTCAATAGCCCATGTTTCATTGGTCTACGTCACATATCTCCAAAGATATTTGTGCAAATGTTATATTTTTCAAAATCTTATGGATTATCATATTTCAGGAAACCATTTTTGTAATTTCAGAAGATTCTTCAAATATAATTTGGTAATAACAAAATGTATGTTTATGTAACATATGTTTATGAATAGAAATAGAAGTAGTTTACATGATGCTTTTGATGCGCCTATTAAAAATTTGCAAATTACAGGGTGTTAATGAATTTATGTCAAATATTTTTGCCATATGTCCTTTATGTCAAAATACACGGATTTATGTTGAGTAAATGTAATTTTAAAATCTGACTTACTTTAACATTGCAAGGAGCCTTTTGAGTACTGCTGATTTTTATAGATGTTCAATTGTACCCACCATTTGCTTGGACACAAGCTTCAGCGCGACGTATCTAATTCGCTCGCACGCGTTGCAACATTACCACGTCCTCTCGAATCGTATTACAAATTTCGGCAATACAATGTCGCAGTTGGTCGATCTCACGAACTTCCGAGGAATTCACAACACTTTTCACATGTTCCCACAAGAAGAAGTCTAAAGGGGTAAGGTCGGGGACCGGGGAGGCCATCTAACTAGGCTGCCGCGGCCTATCCAACAAACGGAAAAAGTAATGTTTAGAAAGTCGTGCGATCTCTAAAAAAGTGAGCGGGGGCTCCGTCATACAGTAACCACATATTTTGCCGAACATTTAATGACACGTCTTCCAATAACTCCGCGATTTTGCAAAAA